ATCATGATTCAGAGGGGAAGCGAGTTCAAGACATGCTGTCTGCAATCGACAAACCACAGGTTGGAATGCATACATCCCGCCTCACACACACACACACACACACACATACACACACACACACACACACACACACACACACACACACACACACACATACACATACACATACACATACACATACACATACACATACACATACACATACACACACACAACATAGCAGTTATATTTCATATTCTCTTCCTATCTCTGTGATTAGCATAATAAATCTGAAGATTACACTGAAAACTAGAAAATGCATTTCCTCAGGACCCTGACGAGCGTCTGAGTCTGCTGTTTGTGTACTTTCGGGTCAATAATGTGGCATTTTTGGCAGATTTACTAAAGGTGCGCAGCTGCTGCTCTGACGAAAGATCAAGCTGAATTTACAATGGGCCTTAATGGAGACATGTTGAAAGTTTTTGTCACTTCAATGCCCTCAAGAGGCATTTTGTTTTATTTTTTTGCTTAATTATTTTTTATTTTTCAACGTAGGAGAGGTTTTCCTACGTTTTTCATGAAAAATGATGTCCCAGGAGTGTAGGGTTTGGGAGTTATGGCAGGTTTTTAAAAAAAAAATAGGGCGAATTTCAAGCTCTCCCCCACTCTGTTTTGAGATCAAAGCACTCTAAACCCTAACCACTAATGTTAAAATCTGAAAAAGGCCTCTCAACCAAGCTCCAAACTAAGTTAAATATCTCAAAAAGTGTAAAAGATATCAAAAATCTGAAGAATATGTTTTATAGCTGAATGTCTTGTGATCATTTTAAAGTTGGAATGAAGTCCCTAGCTGAAAGTATGTGGAAGGAGTAGCATTTGGCGCACAGTGTAGGTAAAAGAGGATGTGAAGGTTCCTCCCATTGAGTTACATGTTAAAAAAAGAGTTTAAAAAGCTGAATATTTCAAAAAGTATAAAATATTTTGAAAAAGTTGAAAGTTTCCCATCATGTGCTGAAAAGGCTGAATATTTTTGATATTTGAATGGTTTCTGTAGCTGAAAGTAGGCTGAAGTTATTCGACGGCAAAAAACGTGCGGAAGAACTGAAATAAGAAGATGAAGTTGAAGAATAAAGATTTGAAGAACTATCGTGGAATGCTGTGTCTCTGTCATTATGAAGTCATTTGGGGCTTTTTAGTAACTGACTGGGAAGGTAACCAGTCCTTTATGCTCTGCTCACCCTGGCCACATGAGGGCAGCATCAGCTCACCCACAACACTCACTTCCCACTCTGCATTTATGACACTCTTTCTCCCCCGGGGGGGGGAATGCAAATTAATGAGCTCTACCCATGCAGACATGGTTTGGTAGAGAGGAATTGCTCCCTCCTAGTTGAAGCAGTTTGGTCAGCAGGAAGGGAACATTTGATTTATTTTAAGTTAATAGCAGGGGTTGAATTAGAAAGAGAACATCGAGTGGTGACAGAAAAAGAGAAGTAAGGTGTGAGTTTTGAGCCCTTCAGGAGATTTGAAGTTGATGGAAACAGCAGTTTATTTGCTCTCATCACATCAATCCACCTTTTGCTGACACAGCCATGGTATTATAGTCGATACTGCTCAACAAAATATTTGAGATCGTTCTGTCTCAACGATTGCTATTTTGTGTTATAAAATGCAGACTCTACGATCTGTCACTTTTGAAACTACATTTTTTCTTTATGCATTTATATAGGCGGCGGTAGTGGTGGATTTACAGGGACCGATAGTGATGTAATAGTCCTTCCTCCCTGCCCTGCAGCAGAAATGCCTTGTGATGGATTGAGCTGTGTGCCGTAGAGACGTGGTAGCAGGTGTCAGTGGCAGAGCTTAAATGAAAAAGTTCTTCATAAAGAAATTATAAAATATTGTTCCTCTGGTTGTATGGCTTCGCTTTCATAGCAGGTAGGTGTTGACGTTTAGCTGAAGTGAAATATAACAAGCAGAAGGGCTTCAACGCACGCCGCTGTGTGGACGGGCCGTTAAGTCTCACAGTCTTTCCTAATTTTGGCTGTTCTCAAGCTTCTTCTGCTTGCATTATCAGGCCATTCATTATTAAGTATTATGTATGCAGCCAAAGTGTACATGTGAGCGAAGTGATTGACAGAATAAGTGTTGGAAAAAATATTCCTAGTTGTACAAAATGTTACATAAAATACAATGGTGTCCTCAGGCATATGGACACAGTGATATGTTCCCATAAAACGTAATCATTGTGATCAAAACTCTCATAAAATGACACGTCTGTCTTCTTCATAGACAGTCTAGGCATGGTTGTGGTTTTGCAATGCCCTCAAGGCGCATTCATCGCCTACTCAGTGGATGTGGAGTCTGGAATAGCAGCAGACTGTGCTAAATCACGCTAAATTGGCTCACCCACCATGTGCCACAACTAAAACTCCCATAAACATGTAGGCACTTGCAGACACAAAGACAGACATGCTGTTAAACACACACACACACACACACACACACACACACACACACACACACACACACACACACACGCAAGCCTCTGATTCCTTGTTTGTTTATTTATTATTTTCGTACGTGTTCCCGGAACAATGGATTAGTGGAAAATGGTCAAATATGAGGGGTGATTTCAACGCCGCATTGCTTTACACACACACACACACAGAGCCTAATACATACTAAAACAGACCTTTAAAATAAAATGGATGTATCTTAACTACACGTTCCAGAGGTTAGAATGACTGCTGCAAAGGATTTCTGAGAAATAAAATAAAACAATAGTGTTTTTTTGTGTATATTTACGTTTATTTGTGTCTTTACAGGTTTCTAATGTGCAGGCGCGGGCTGCACGGCTGTGCTGGGCCCCCCCGGCAGGGCTGGGGAACAGGTTAAGTAACGGGATGACTGTGTCCTGCTCCTTCGAGGTCTCTCTCTCAGATAAGGGACGAGATGGAAAGTTTCGCCTTATATACAGGTAGGAAACACACTCCAAATGTATAAAGTGCAAGGCATCAGCTTCAAATACAGAAACATCAAAAGGATACTGCTGTGATTTTTATGCTTTGTTTGTGTGTTTGTTTTCAGTGGCGAAGAAATGGAGTACCACCTGAAAGACCTAAGACCAGCGTCAGACTACCACGTACGGTAAGGACTTTCCCATAGGACATTCATGACTTGGATATGGTGTTAAAACGACTTCAATCCTGTGTTTTTGTCACATTCCTAATATCTATAAGTCAGGTTTGTGGGTATTCACAATATTAGGATTCAAGCTTTATCCAGCCTTATTGATTTTGATGTCTTGTGTGTTTGCTAAAGGGTGTCGGCAATGTACAACTTGGTTCGAGGCTCGTGTTCAGAGACCGGCTCGTTCACCACTCACTGCAGCATCCCCGATGTCCCGCTGAGCCCGAAACTCTCCCACCGCACCAAGAGCACCCTCACCCTACAGTGGAAGGTACCGGCACAAACACACATGCCTGTTCATCACAAAGACATTCGGTAACACATTTTGCCCCAATAAACATCACAGTGACTTATAATCATTTGGTTCTAATGGATAAATCCACACTGCCAAACAAGACTCTAGGTTTTTATGTCCACCTTACCAGTTTGTAGAGTTATACACTTGGAGAAAAACTTTATTCTTTGAGTAAAGGGAAGAGTATGTTACTTGATTCAATACCTAGCTTAACTTCTTCTTACACAAGTTATTTTATCCCCTCACACTGTCACTGATAAAAAGTGGCATCAGTTACCCAGACAGGATATGAGGCCAATCATAAAGTCACAGCAGGTATTTTGTCTGTCAGTGTCAGATTATTTTATCCTTTGCTAATCTATTCATCTCTCTCTTGTCTCCTTTCTGCCTCTCTCTGTCCATTTTCCTCACGTCCACAGCCCCCGGGCGACAACGGAGCCAAAATTACAAACTACCTGCTCGAGTGGGACGAGGTGAGTCTGTCTCTCACTCTTCCATCTTCTGTCATGCCTTCCCCTTACTTCCAAAAAGCACTCTTACCTATCGCAGACATCACTAAACAGATGTCAACATCCGGCTCCTCAGACAAGATTTAATAAGTTGTGAATGATGTCTTTCCGATCTGTGTCAGCCACACATTTTCCTTTTGATTTTTCCTTACAATTCTCCTGTTGCCATGGATCTTGTCGCCCTCTTATATATTATCTTATTTACTTTATTTTCCATCGTTTTCATGCATTTATCTCTTCTCTCCTCTGCAGGGAAAGAAGAACAGTGTTTTCAGAGAATGTTACTTTGGGAGCCAGAGACACTATAAGGTGTCACGACTGTTTCCCGCCTGCGGCTACACGTTCAGAGTGGCTGCACGCAACGACATTGGCACAAGGTACTGTTGTCTCTGACTGAATACATAAACATATGTGCGACCAACAAATACACCAAAAGGAGAAATGTATTCATGCACAGATCACGAAGAATAGCATTGGAAGCATATGTAGTAACTATTTTTATTCCCTTATTTATATACTGTAGAAGCATGGATTTACTGTAATACATGTCAATTGGCCCTTAAAATGATATGAGGTCTGCAACCATTGTTTAACACTAGATAAAGCCAGGGGTCGCTGTATACCTAAAACCGCCAATGGGTAAAATGTACCCGCTATTAGAATGCATTGATTTTCAAGGTACAATGTTCTTTTATTTATCATACTAGAACACAGGGTTAACAGTGAGTTTTGATCGCACAGTGATGAAACTTATACCAATAGAATCTGTGGACTCTCAGCTTTCATATGATATTTAGTTTGTGCAGATAGCATGAAGTATAACATATCGCTACCATGAGTTATGTGCAAAGTGTCTCTCTCTCTCTCTCTATCTATCTCTCTATATATCTATCTATAACTATCTATAACTATCTATCTATCTATCTATTTATCTATTTATCTATCTATCTATCTATCTATCTATAACTATATATCTATCTATCTCTCTACCTCTCTATCTATCTATCCCTCTATCTATCTCTCTATCTCTCTATCTATAAGGAACCGCAGTAGACAACAGGCGTTGCTATAGCAACACGTCATGTTTATGCGCAAAATCAATAGCTCGAAAATCACTACATTTTCTATAAGGTAAATATTACCCGCTGGCGCTGATGGGTATAAATGGCTATTTTTTGGGCCATTTTTTTCAACCTGACTTCATATTGACCATTTTTAACAACAGAAGGTGCTACATAACACACTTTCAGGAAAAGTCACAGACTGGGAGACTTGAATATTTTATTGAAAAAAAGTGACATACAATCAAGAAAGAGCTGCGGGTAAAATGTACCCGTTGGCGGTTCTTGTGTTAAGTAACCATGGACAGTATACGAGTACATATTGTATCAATGTCAGCCAAAACATATAGTACATTTTGATGATAAATTGAGGGACAGAGACTCACAAACATGCCCCAGTCTACCTGTGGCAATTATAGCACAAGAGACAGGAGTCGTTTTTCTCCTTTTCCCTCCATTTCCTCTCGTCTCCTCTTTGTCATTATGGCAGTGCACATCTCTCCTTTTAGTCGTAAGGTTGAGAGGGAAAAAGTAATGGGGGAAAGTGAGCGTGAGAGAGGAGATATAAGCTATATGGCTGATTTCAGGAGAGCCTTAATGCTTCATTTAGTTTAAATTACTTTTGAATCCATAGGAACACTTGCTCTTACAAACATACTCGGCACATGGATACCGATTGTTATATATTATTCGTAATTTTAAAATGTTTTCCGACCACCTTAACCCCTGCTGCTGCCCATACATTCAAATAATTTCCCTCCTGCTGCTACTCTCAAATTACCCGTCGTCACCTCCTGTTTTCCATCTGGCGTCGGACATGTATATCTAATCAGAATCAGAATACCTTCATTCTAAATGTTCCCTTGTCACACATAGTCTTAAAATTGTAGTTTTTTTATTCTCTCATCTTTGATCCTCCAAGCCCCATCACCTAGAACCCTTCACCTGAAAATGACAATTGATGACAGCATTAGAAAATCTTAATCACATTTTCCCCGGCTTTCACTTTTCAAATCTTCTCCTCTCAGCATCTGTGAAATTGTAATTCATGAACCATAACCTCTCTAACCTTAAAAGTAATCCAAAGGGTTCTTTTATTTGCTTGAGCAAGTTGAATATAAGCAAGACTGTGACTTAAAGGTCCCCTATTATACTGTTTTTCATCAATATATTATAGGTCTCAGATATATACAAAACATGTCTCTGAAGTGTTTGGCTCCAAACACCAAACAGATCATTGCAGCATCCCATAATCCCCTCTGTTTCAGCCCTGTTTCAAAAGTGCTGATTCTCTGTCTGTTACTTTAGATGAAAATAAGGAGCCCCTCCCCACGCCCCTCTGAGAGATATTTGGTTAAAAAGAACTCAATGGTGCTCTAGGAGGAGATTCAGGTGATAAGGTAGGGGGGGGTTACCTTGGTTGCTGATTGGCTAATGGTTACACAAGCCAAAAAAACGTTATGACATCATAAAGTGGCCAAAATCTGATCAGCTCATTTTCAGACAGGTTTTTATATAAATGGATCAGGACAAAAAGTGAGAGAATCTTTTTCCTGAAACTTCCAGAATCTCTTTCCACAGAGGGGACACATGTTGATGTAGAAAAGACATGACAAAGTGGATTTTGCATAATATGTGACCTTTAAAATTGAAATGTGTTTTGTGCAGTGGTTTCAGCACAGAGGTGGTGTTCTACACCATGGGCACCCTGCCTGCTCTGCCTCTGGCGCCGCGGCTGGTCAGGGCGGGGGTGTCCTGGGTGACCCTGGAGTGGGGGCGTCCTGAGGGCAGTCCGAGCGAGGAGCAACTCAAATACACACTCGAGATCCAGGAGGACAACAGCGTGAGTACCGTGCACATGTAAACCTATACCATAAGAAAACATTTATTAAGTTTATCTTGCTGGCACAGGTTTATTTTTCTTTATATTAAAACCAGGCCTCATAGATACGTTTCAGGACCTACACAATCCACCATAGCAAACTTGGTTTTGTGAAATTTGTTTTCGTGGTGTTTCATTCAGCTCTGTGCTGTCAGTCACGAGAAGAGCAATAAGAGAATACAAAACTTCCCCCAGGAAACTATATACCTAAAAAACTGATACTATTTTAAGGAAATAGAAATAATTGCTTGCATTGCAAAATAGTCTGGAGAGATGGACAGCACAGCAGATGCAAAGAGCAGTAATTTATTTCATACACAAGCTTGGACACACCATATGCACTGTTGTATGTAAATAAGAAAGGAATTGCATAAAAGGCACTCCTTACTCCCCCTTACACGCACATTTGTACAAAGTCAAATTCAGCATTTACTGCATACATCTGTTTATAAATGTACATTTTAATCAATACCGGACTAATACCTCACACACACACACACACACTGACAGATTTGTTGTGTCCTTATTTCCCACAGGGAACAGACTTTCATCCTAAGTACACTGGAGAAAACTTGACCTGTACTGTACAAGGACTGAAGAGGAGTACACAGTATAAATTCAGGGTGAGTCACAACTTTCCCCATTTATTTATTTTAAAGATTATTTTGTTGGTATTTTCACCTTCACTGGACAGATTACGGTGTAGAGGAAAGAGTGGAAATGGGAGAGAAGGGGGGGTGGGGGGGGGGGGGGGGTAGGCTATGTCATGCAACAAAGCACAGCTTAAAACGATATAATCAGTTTCAAAGTCTGATGAGTATAAGTATACCTACAAACTTCCCCCAGCTAAATATTATATTATCATTTTAAGCTGCGGGAACTTTGTTGCATTGAACTTTTTGTTGATACTTCTGGTTGAGAGTTAGAGAAGACCTATACCACTCTCATGTCTGTGTGTGTAAATATGAAGCTAACATTGCAGCCAGTTAGCTTAGCTACAGTAAGACTCCAGAAACTCATTGGAAAAGCAAGTCCAGCTTTATATCTGCAGGTTATAGCTTCATGTTAACCTTACAAACATTAGAGTACTCTAAGTCTTCTCATCTAGAAAACTCTACTGGAAGCAAACGTTTCTGCGTGTATACATGTTTCAGAATGATAGAAATGAATAAGAATTAGCATGATATAGCATTAGCTGTTTTTGGTGTATGAGTTAAGTGGGATTTCCTAAATAGGATGTTGTTCAAATAAAAAGTAAAAATGTAGCTTAAAAGTTACGTAAAAACCCCCAATAACTTATTTTAGTTTGAATTCGGCTTTCTGGCTTGAGAACAGCTCATAAAACGAGTCATCATGTCTGCCTATTAATCAATTTCCAGTCAGTGATGGTCTCTTTCTGGTAAATGTTTCCAAGGATACAAATGTATTCAGGCGACTTTCTGTAATTATAAAACATCAATCAATCTAGGAATGAATACAGTACAGTATAATCAGTATACCACCAGTAATTTGACTGCAAATTGAGCAGAAGTGAAGGAAGGCCACTCATCAGCCATTTAGCGAGTAGAGAACACTGTCCGGCTCGACTAAAAGCTGTGATAGCATTTCATCATGAGGGGACATTGTGAGACAAAATGTACCATCAGTGAATCTCTGTAAGCGAGTTCGCACAATCATGAATGTAACCACTGCTGAGTGTGTCTTGTTAGCCATGTATTACGGTTCAATCGTATAAAACATCTCCTGTGGACTTCCACTCACGTGTACCTGTCCTCACTTGCATAATCTGATTTAACCCGAGTACATGAACATACATGCTCACAAGAGACACCTGTGTTCTTTGTGATGGCCACCTGCTGAGAGCATCTGGGAACAAATAATTGATTGTCCACATGGGTTGGGTTAATGGAAGAATTAAACTGAAGAGGGATGAAGACACAGGTGGAGGAACAGAGAGTAATGGCTTCTATTTATCAGGCTGTTTCTTTACTTATTGATAAATGTCCACACCATTACCACCCCACTGTTACTCCTTGTGTCTTCTCTTACCCTTTTCTTGCTTTCTCCCACGCTTCATACCATCCTTTCTCTGTATCCTGTCATTCTGGCACACCCTATTTTCCTATTTGCTGTTTTCCTTTTCTTTTGTTCGCCTTACACTGTCCTTCCTTTATCAACGCTTACATTTGTCAATTTCCCCGCCCATTTCCTGCAGCTCATAGCATCAAACATGGAGGGAAAGAGCAGTCCCAGTGAAGTGTTGGTGTGCACCACCAATCCAGACAAACCAGGCCCTCCATCTACCCCCTGTGTCACTGCAGAAACCCCCTACGGATTCACCATCACATGGGGTAAAGATACGCACCAACACACACATGCACATGCATTAAACATTCTGGTGCATTGACCAGTGGAAATACACAAAGTCTACAGGGAAACATAACCACCAAAAGTGAATTCTTCTTTTAGTTTTAACCCTTTATTTTGATCATGTAGTCAATTTAACCTGTTAAGCCCCGAGCCTGTTTTTCAGGTTTCAGGCTCGAAAATGACATGCCCAAAACAAATGACTACAACTTCACTTCTAAAAGGGTTATATGAATAATTTATTTTATCAAAGCAAGGTTACATCTGTGAGTTGGATGTAGAAGTGTCAGAATCAATATAGATTTTTCTCAGTCAGAGTAAATTCAGATGGAATATAGTAAAAAAATGTAAATTCTTACCTCCGGCTAAAGAAAAAACATTACTTATAGTGAAAACCACCCTTGAATGATGGGATGGTAGACTAAAAGCTTTAGGAATCCAAACTATAACATATAATAAGTACCCTGTATCAAGATTGAGGCAAAACAAGTGAGATTTGACCTTTTTAGAGAGGTTTAGCAAAAATAAGTCCAGGCGGAATAAGCTTTCGGCACATTTGGGTACATCTGGTTCCATCAGTGCCATTTGACCTTTTTCAGGTACCAGACTATAAAAATGATGTATTACATTGAATTATCACCATAGGTATTCATTCCATCCAAAGAAAAAAAAGAAAAAGACCCGCCGACGGGGGCTTTGGGGCTTAACAGGTTAAAGACTGCTGAGATACTTAGGATTGCTTTAAAAAGAAAGAAAGCAAAGGTTGAACATTTTGTACATTTATTATTGGGATAATATAAGAATATAGTTTTAAAATAATCTGGTTTTCATTGGTTTGATTCAAATAAATGTCCAAAGTGTCATTGTTTTATTAGGTTGTTGCTTTTGTAATCAAAAAGGTCGAACAGAGCGTATTGCAGAGGAAATGTAGTGATGGATAGTCATTGACAAACTGCTGCCTCTGGAGTGTTATCATGAAACTGAATTAGCAGCCATAAAAGTCCTCATGTCTGCAGCCGTCCATCTGTCCTGCGCTAGTACTGCAGCCTGCCCTTTCTCAAATGCACTGATCTCAATCACCATTTATATCATTCACTTTACTATAAAAGCTGTAAACACAACATATTTTTTATGTTAAACAATTAAAGGATGTTTAGTTAGTTGGTATATTAGTGTGATTTGTCCACCAACAACAGCTTGGCCATTTCAAAGTGATGTAGCTGCACTGTATTCCCCTGCTGCTTTTTTTTTTACTTGTGCTTATTTATTATAACTGTACCACCCGAGAGTGTGCCTCACTGCAATTATTGCTCCAGTGTTGATACAATAAGTATGGAGGAGGCGTGTGGTGCAGTGGGTTGTGCGTTGGTGTTCGGATCAGGGGGTAACAGGTTCAAACCCCACTGCAGTCAGCATGTCGTTGTGTCCCTGGGCAAGACACTTCACACCAAATTCAGGTGATAAGGTAGGGGGGGGGGGTTACCTTGGTTGGTGATTGGCTAATGGTTACACAAGCCAAAACATCGTTATGACATCATAAAGTGGCCAAAATCTGATCAGCTCATTTTCAGACAGGTTTTTTATATAAATGGATCAGGACAAAAAGAGAGAGAATCTTTTTTCCTGAAACTTTCAGAATCTCTTTTCACAGAGGGGACACATGTTGATGTAGAAGAGACATGAAAAAGTGGATTTTGCATAATAGGTGACCTTTAAAATTGAAATGTGTTTTGTGCAGTGGTTTCAGCACAGAGGTGGTGGGGATTGTCCACAGTATTGAGCATGTTAGTCGCTTTGGATAAAAGCGTCTAACAAGTGACATGTAATGTATGAGAAGTGGCACAGCTGAGGAGGTTGCTTCCAGCAGTGCTGATTTACCTACAATCTCAGAATAAATCATTCCCTATAGCATATTATGCTCCAGTCGCTATCACAATTTCTGTAAAATGTTTAGTTTTTTCCAAATAGGCCATATACACATGAAAACAAAACAAAAGGAAGCTTTTATTAGCTCCCTTACTACTGAAACATGTGCAGCAATTACATAACTATGCTCTTTTGTTTGGCTGAAAGACAGACAATTTGTCACAGTTCCTGACACTTTATGAGATATCGCATAATGTCTTCAGGATTGATGAGGAGGCTAAATGTCATGAAGAGTCTAACGGATGACTTATGAATGTGTTCATCATTTTTCAATTGATGTGTGCTAATACTGAGCCAGTTTTTCTTATTTGATGTCTTTGAACTGAAGTCATAAATGTCAGGATGCAAATGTTTCACACATATTTCTCTCCTGCTTATGATATGTATTACCCAAATTGAAATGTGCCTTCCTAATCATCCAACAGATCCTCCCCAGGACACCGGGGGCTCAGAGGCTCTAACATACCTGCTAGAGATCTCCGAGGGATGCTCTGAAGGTAGGATCCATATGTCTGAATCTAAAAGTCCATCCATCCATGGGTGCCACTATCCGGCTAATTTGAGTCATTATTCAGTCCATCCTCTTATAAAAGTCTGCTCTAAATGTACCATCTGTCCTCACCCCCCTGTGTTATTTCTCCCTGTGCCTCAATTTCTCTCACTTACTCCCCTAAGACGACTTGCGCCCTCAATTTACCCTTTGTTAGCATCCATTTAGCATTCAGCATTTTAAGAATTGACCACATAATCCAGGAAACCAAATGTTCTTTTTTTCCTTCAGCAGGGCGAGAAATAAGTGCATAAGTGCTTTAATCTGTATTCATTCAATAATGTCAGAGAAAAATACGTTTGTTGTTTTTTGGAGATTAGTGTTGAAAATCAAAGAACAGAAGAATAGATGATAAATACTCTTGCATTGGTAATGTAAGAAGATCTACAGCAGCAGATATCTAACCATATGTTAATTTGATTGCTATCAGTGGACTGAAATAATGTAATTCGAGAAATCTGCCCCTGGATTGTCTGCAACTCAAGTCAGACAGTGTGACTGAATGTGATAGGATTTGTCTAGCACTGCAGTTTTGATTAGATGAAAATGTTTAAAGATCAGCTAAGGATCTTAACTTTGAATTAACCCTGAGAACCTGGCCTCATAAGTATTTCATATCCATGACTAATACAAATGTCCTACTTAGTAATCAATAATAAAAAGCTTGACCTTTAAAGACCTCATCGGCTTCATCAGGGAGTGGGTGTCATTTGATCAAATTTGACCTAAAAACCAACTG